AAAACAAGCCTAGTCGTAAGAATTAATTGCACATGTGCGCATACCTTTTTCTATTCCTACTTACATCAATATTATACAGTAAGATATATTATAACTGCTACACATGAATGCGTTTTGTATTTTTTTTTTTCGATACATGATCGATAATTAATGCAGTAAATACACATATTTTATTTTTCATTCTCATAGTCAATGATAGATAAAAGCAGCACTTTTTCATATTTTCTCTTTGCTTATTACTCTTCCTATTAGTACTTATGGATGAATTAACGAATCGAAACAGAAAATATTATAATATGTAAACAAATGAAAGTTAAAACAAAATTGCCAATAGACTTTTTTTCGCTGATATACATTTACTGGTTTGAACCAAATAAGAACAATCTTTATTAAATAACATCAAAGTTAATCATATTAATACTAATTTAAAATCTTTATTAGACTTATCAAGTCTCGTAGCAAAATATTTACAGTGGACGATAATTTAAGACATTGAAGTTTTGATCAAACAATTTATGAAATATTTGTAGAATAGTTTATACTTTATTTAATAGCAAAATGTATTTACATATATTAAAAGCGATGAAAAAATATGTATCAAATATAATTCAATTTTTTATTGAAGGGATTTTTTTCATTGCAAGACTATTAGTTGAATCTTATTTTGTAAATATATTCTATAGTATATGAATATAATCTCTAATTCAATCGCTGTGACAAAAAATCTATGAACAATCATAAAAGTAGAACAAAAATGGGTCAGCATATTAATGTTATAAAAAGCGCGACAACTTTAATGATTTCAAAAAAAAAACAACGTAAAATCGTGTTTAATTTCTGATTTTTCTAATCTGTTTCGAATTAGTTATCAATTAGAGAAATAATAAAAGATCTGGATAATTGAAAATCAGAGAAGATTTCTACAGATTTCATTAGCATAATTATAAGGATTTATAGAAAAAAGAAAGATTTCTATTTTCCATGATATCACTATTATGCTACAAATAATATTGGACAATTAAGAAAATATTTGAATTAAAGAAGTCTTTGATATTTGTGAACTGTGCGAGAAAACAAGAATGCTTTTGACTTTTCAGTTACAACAAATTAAAATCGTTATCTCAATCTAGACTACATAAAGAAAAAGAATCATATTTCTTAAATCATAACTGCTCAACAAAATAAAAATATTCTCTACTGGAAAACATGTATTTCGTCTCATAAAATTGATAAAGGCTACACTTGTTTTAAGTTGCTAGCAGAAAAATAGTGATTTTGTTATATAAGAATGGAAAAAAGGATAGAACAACTATTACTCTGATTGAGAGATAACAAACAAGCAATTATCTATATAATAGTACGCGAAAATTTGACAATTACTATTTACTTCTTAGTTGTGTAGGTCAAAGCGGCTAACTCTGTTAGAGATAAAGGCAAAAAACCTCTTATACCAAAACGTTCTAGATCGCAGACATAGTGTTTCATCTGTTACACGAATTAGTGTATTGTTATTAAAGTTAAACTATCTAAACAAAAAATTACTATTTTTGTCTTGATAAGAAGGTTAAATTGATATTTGACATGATTCTATTCTCTTTTTTTTGTTTTATTTGATATTAATAATTAATTAAAAATTCATCACATTTCATATCTCGATGAAATTCTTCTTCGGATGTTAAATTTACAACAAACTCTTTAACATATAGAAATAAAATAGCTTTTTTTCTCTCTCTTTCCTTTCGTTATTAGCCATTGATAATGATACGGAAAAGGATTATATCCCTATCTAGCTACTACTATTAACGTCTTGTTTTCCGCATCACTATCAATGGCTAATAACGAAAGGAAGGAGAGAAAAAAAGGCTATTTTACTTGCATATGTTACAGAGTTTCTTATAAATTTAATGTCTGAAGAAGGATCTCATCGAGATATAAAACGTCATGAATTTTTAATTAATTATTAATATCAAATAAAATAAAATAAGAGACAATAATAAATGACTACATTTAATAAAAAAAAAACAATTCTATCTACATACATCAGAAATTAGGAAAATAATATACTTGGTTGAATGTTGCAAAAAGATAAATGTTAGCTTTCATAGGTATAGAGCCATTGACTAGGAGTTGTCATTGATTGAATATGATCGAATGAAAGAAAAGGACTTCCCTAGTATAACTAAGATCACATGCCTTCTGCTATTCGAACAGATATCCTAAACCAGTTAGACTAAAACGGATATCTTAGTCGTTATTTTCCGTTCAAATGAATCAAAACTAATGCTAATAATAAAAAAATTAGCTGTATTACGTGTAAAAGAAAAGAAATATTCTACTCGACTGGAACTAAAGCAAAAAAATTATTAAAAAATGTTTTACCACATTAAGTGAACACAAAAATGGCTGCGATTGATCTTTCTCAGTCTTTTCTAATATGTCGTGACTTTTTTTACATAATGAAATAATGGAAAGAAAAACGTCGCGTGTTTCTACGCCGATAGAAAACAGAAAGAAGTATTTTTTATTACCTTGTATCTTTAGCCTATACCGCTCTTAATAAATCTCTATAGAAACGATGAGAATCATAGACTTTTTCTGTTCTTTTCCTGTTATTCTCTGTCAGTTTGCGGTCTGGCTTGTCACTTTCTCTTTTTTTATTGAATTATTTACCTAAAAAATTTGTAGTGAGCTGCTTCTTGTTGAGTGTTAATCAAGATTGGGTGTGGATAAAAAAGAGACACCCACACTATTACACTTTGCAGGCAGGGTGGATGTGCGTGAGGAAGAGACTCACAATCACCTACCATCATACAAATACGATCATCGTTCACAAAACATATCTTCTGTTAAACTCACTGTCAACGTTCTCATCACATCAACACTTTTATGATTCTCTATTATATTCAAACGTCTCTCAATAAAAGTAAGAATAAAATTTATACTTACAGAAATCTACATATTTAACAGAGATTGATGAAAAAGAAAGAATGAAGAAAAACGACATGATAATTACTACATACGATCATATCGAATGACATTATTTAGTGATAAACTGTTGCTCGAGTGTGAAAGCAACTAGGCTGACATGAAAACATAAAAAGAATGCGTACGACTGCACAACCTTGTGCTTGTAACTTTCAATACATAGTCATTTACATATAGCAGAGAAGTTGTCACCATCTTATTTCTTTTGAAAAAGTCTTTCTCTCGAAAAGAAACTATTAGAGAAAGGTGAAAGTATGTGTCATATAGTCATATAATAGAGGACCTAACATTTATTCTATTTATTTCTTTGATATTTTGAATTACATTTCAAATTTCGAATGGTAGTTACTTACTTCTTAGACATAATTCTTCTGACAGATAAGTCGATAAGTCACTCGTACGAAAATAAATAATAGAAAAAAGATAGGTGTATCATTTGTTTGGAACAGAACGACATCCCAAACAAAAAATATTTATTTACTTGTTAGATGACTTTGGTAGCCATTCTTATGCAAATTTTGTTGTTGTATTTATTAAAAAAGGAACCAACCGTCTTGTTAATGTTTCAACTTGTAGTAAAGATTTTTCGCAGGTTTCTACACTTACACATATAATTTCTTTTCGACCGAAAGAGTTTCTCAAAAGAAATAAAATGATGACAACTTATTTGCTATATGTAAATGAGTGTGTATTGGAAGTTACACGCGTTCTTTTTACGTTATTATGTCAGTTCAGTTACACCCACACAGAATCAAGTTTATCGGTGAAAAATGTCATCCGATACGATCGCGTGTATTAATTCTCATGTCGTTTTTCTTCTTTCTTTCTTTTTCATCAATCTCTGTTAAATATGTAGATTCCTGCGTGTATAAATTTTGTTCTTACTTTCATTGAGAGATGTTTGACCTTAATACAAAACTATAAAAGTGTTGATGTGACGATAACGAGAGAACGTTGACAGTGAGTCTGACAGAAGATATCCTTTGTGAACGGTGATCACATTTGTGGGTGGGTAGGTGAGTGTAAGTCGTTTTCTCACCCACACTCAGGTAAATGAGATGATAATGCTGAAGTCGAGGATGGCATAGTGGTCTATGCGTCTGACTGTTAAGTCAGATATCAGAAGGTTCGATACCTTCCCTTGGCTCGTCGGGTGATCGTCGGGTGATGGTGATGATGGAAGAATGGAAGGAAGAAGAAATATACAGTTCGTACGAAGAATAAGCAAAGAATCACGTGGACATGGTTATACGACCTCGCCAGTTTGTTTGTTTTCTCCTCTTTGTAACTCCTTTCTTCACTATGTTATCATCATTGTCTTTTCGTAAGCGTCCTCTAAAATTGTACTTGTACTAACAAAAATGACAAAAATATCTTGGACGGAACGAAATAAATACCGCATAATCAAAAAAAAAAAAAATGCTGATGAATTGTCATTATTGCATATTTTATTAGTTTTGAGCACATTACTATACACATGAAAGTAAATAAGTTTTTTTATGTGAATGATGGCATATTTAACAAAAAAATAATTACGTGCCTTTTAGATGATTATATATTGGAAAAGAATACTTTGAATTATGTATTCAAGATAAGTCTCATCCACATCCGCAACCCATACCCAAAAACTAAACAAAATGGTCTGAACGTTTACCCTTTGTCCAGTTTCAAAAAAACTCATGTTACCATCAAGTATTGAAACATAGATTTTGCATAGGTCCACGAAAAATAAAAATTATCATGATTTACTTTTATACTAATAAACTAGAGAAACCACTACTTCATTTTAGTTCCTCCATCCCTTTACTCCTTTTAGTCCCTTTAGTCTTGAGGGTGTGGGTGAAGGTGTGGGTGTGGCTGTTTACATTGTTTCACACCCACATCCTAAAGGGACTAAAAGGATTAAAGGGAGTAGAGCATTCTTTAGTTGCATAGTATAAAAGTAAACCATGATAACTTTGATTTTTCGTGGAGCCCTCAGTTTGTAAGATAATTAATAGTTATTTATTGAACATTTATTTATCTTGTTTCTCTTTGTTTCTCTTAATTTTTACAATTCTAAAAGTTGTATCTCCATTTCTGATACTTTCATTAAAAATAGGAAGACCTTTTCCAGCTTTATCTCCAAGTCCCATTGATAAAGCTCCATCTTCAACTTTCATTTGTTTTTGTTTTAATGTTTCAATTAATTCAATTGGTGCACAAAATTCTACAATTGTTGTTGGACTAGTACTTGTCCATTTTGCTCCAGTTAAATATTTATTAGCATATAATCTACCATTTTCACCTTCAATAATTGCTTGATATGGTTGAGTATCAGGTAGTTGTCTATGTTCTACTAAATATAAAATTTCAATATCTCCCATTGGTCGATAGACATTTGTTCGTCCGGGAGGTGGAGAAGAAGAAGGAGTTTCTAACCACATTGAAGATGAACCATGATGTGTAATATTTTGTAATTCGCCTGAATTATATAAAGCTAGTTCATGTGGAAGTAATCGTTTTAACCAACCATTAATTGGTACAGCTTTGCTAAGAGCATTTTGAAATTTTATATCTTCCATCTAATACACAACATCTATAAGATATAACCTTCTAAATTTGTAAAATAATGTATTACCTTATTATAAGACACAAACATATATGAAATAACTCATTTTTATTTCTGTTCTATAACACGTTACCAGGCGAAAATTTTTCTTTTCATGTAATTACACAATTTTTATATGTTCTTTCGTAATCGATGAGTAATGATATTTTTTTTCCTTTAGAAACATGCGTAAATGTTTTAACATAAGAATAAAGAGAAAACTTACGAAATTATTCAAATTTTATCAATCAAATTTCTACTATTTATAATCTGGAGAAACAGATTTCTTAAAGAAAGAAATTCTTTGAAATGCTTCAGAAATAATATTCAATGTACAGTTAAAAATTGATTTATTGAAATTTTATTATATTACGATATCTTCAATAAGAAAAACTAATATCATTATAATTTCTAATTATCTTTTTTTAATGTTTTACTAATATAAAATTTATTTCAAATAGTTCTTATATAAATTTTACTACTAAAAAGTAAGATAAAACATTATGTAATTTTCGTATGAGACTACTTAAATGATATCATTATAATAAGTCTCTCATTATTTGAACGATGATATCTTTGTCAATATTTGACTTAAGGTGCTTCACAAAATAGTGTAATTTTCATTCATGCGAATAATATCTATCACTTTTCAAGGCATACTCTAAGCGAACAGGCAAAAGTGAATAATTTTTATAAAACAACATTTTGACCGACACATGTCGTTGAAAATAACGGATGTTTCTTGAACAAATCAAAATACATCATTTTAGAGAGAAAAAGACGCAAAAATTTGGAAGAATTATTGAATACATAAGGTAAAGCTAACATATCGTAATCATATGTTGTCTATTTTTCTGTTGATGATATTTGTTATTGATCTTATTCCATTGACTTCATTTAGTAAATCATGTGCTTTTAAACAAATAAGACACTTAATCATGTTCCACCTATTATTTCTCACGAAAGCATTGGCTACTGATCGATTCTATCATTCAACTAACAGCAGTGATGATAGTATTTTGAAACTATTGACATTTGCTAGCGAATAGACCATGATTGATCCTTTTCATTTTACAGCAAATTTGAGATCAATAATAATTTTTCTTTATTAATATTTCATCTCTATTTTATTTTGTTTTTCTAATAAATCTATTTAAAATGTAATTTCTATGAGTGTTTATAAAGAATATTTTTATTGATTTCATCGATTGAACTTAATCCACAACATGCCATATCATAGATTAATTCACGTTTTAATATATCTAATACTTGTTTTACACCATTGTGTCCACCACAAGCTAATCCATATAAAATTGGTCGACCAATAAGAATAGCTCGTGCACCTAATGCCAATGCTTTTAATATATCCGTTCCACTTCGAATACCAGTATCAATAAATACTAAACAAAAAGTTAAAAGTATAATTCCACCAAATAATTCAAAACTTCTGGTCACGACATTGTAGTTTTATTACACGAACACTTGAGCAGTCATCCTATTTCGCAATGTTGAACATATTAGGAACCAGTTCCGCACCGGAATCGATTCCGTTCAATTCCAGGAACTCGATCGATACATAACATCCGACACCACCAGAAGATTGATCGAGTTCTGTCAACTTTCGGAATCGGTGGAACTCGATCAATCTCGGCTAGCTCTCTTATGTTGCGTGTCGATCAAGTTCCCGGAATTGGACGGAATCGATTCCGGTGCGGAACTGATTCCTCTAATGTTCAACGTTGCGGAATAGGATGCATTCTCTTTTGATCAAAATCGTACCTTTCCATCTCCATCAAAAAATCCTAGATCCGTCACTGATCCTTAGTAAAATGTTACCTTCTACACGTCCATCAACAACATTAACAATATCTTCTAAACATTCAATAGCAGGTGGTGCCGTATCAACCTGTCTACCACCATGATTACTAAAAATGAAGCTTCAAGGTCATATACAATAAATGGATTCTATAAAAAAAAGTTAAACCTAACAATAATTCCATTTGCTCCATGTTGAATTGCTAAATTAGCATCAATAGGTGATAAAATTCCTTTACAAATTAATGGTAATTTTGTTAATTTTCTTAACCATTCAATATTTGCCCATGTTATTGAACCCGTACTTAAATTTTGTTTAACAATTATATCAGGTAAATTCATATTTGGCATTGGCATACTTTGATTTAATTCTTTATCAATAGTTTTTGATGCCTCTTCAAATAATGGTAATACATTATCACGAACTCGATCAGTTGGATGATCACATGTTATAACAATTGCTCGATATCCTTTTATTTCAGCTTCTTGAACTATTTTTTCTAAAATTTCTTTCGGTGTTGTTAAATAAATATGTAAAAATTTTGGACCTATAATTAAAATTTAACAAAAATCAAATCAATCAAATAAATAGTTAATACCATCTGTTTTTAAAACTTCATCTTCTGGTTTTGTAGAATACATCCAATTATAAGTATAAATACATTGAGCTTCTGTTGCACCACGAGCTGTACCAATTTCACCATCAATATTTGCAAGACAATGAAATGTTGTTGGAGCTATTATTATAGGTGATTCATATAAACATCTAGAAAGAAGAAATTTATTTATCTCATATATTTCTATTCATTATTACCCGAAAATATTTGTTTTTAATGATATTTCATTAACATCAATTAATACTCTTGGTAAAATTCTTAATTTTTTATCAAAATAATCTCGACATGCTTTATATGTATGTCCTTCGCCAGCTTTATAATCATAATAATAAAAACGATGAGATTTCATTAATTTTTTAGCTAATTCTTCAAATTCATTTAATGATTTACATTTTAAATATTCATTTTTCTATATAAAATAATTAATTAATAATAATATTATTTTCAAAATAAAAATCTACTTGTTCTTCATCTTGTTTTCGTTTCTTTTTTTGTCTAATAGAATTTAAAATAAATAAAATACTTGCTGTTAATGTTGTACCAAATAATAATATATAGAGCTGATTATCTGAATTATTTTATAAAATAAAATTTCGAATTTTATTAATAAAAAAAAAATATTTACTTTTCATTAACGAAATAATTTTATTTATACTGGATGAAATATAGAAATTCTACAATAATAAATATATATTAATGAAATGTGGTCATATTCTGAAATATAAAATGAATAGTATTGTTAGAAGTATCTCGATCATAACTACTATCCATTTCAAAATAAAAATTCGATCGGTATTTTTTTTAAATAACTTCCGATAGTAACAAGATAAAGAGATGATATGATTTCTCTAACTCCTTTCTATGAATTCTTTGATTCTAAAATGCTCCCGATAATCAATAAATTGATGTACTGTCAATTAGAAACATACTGTTTTTCTAAAAGCTTTGTATAATAGTCTTAGATTTCAGTATAAGTTTCAACCTGTCTCTATCTTGTTCCTATCGAAAATTATTTAAAAATACGCACCCGTCTTTTATTTTGAAATAATATGATTAAAACCGAATACGATTTAAATAAAGAATGTAAAAATGTGACATTAGATAAAAATAATAGTATTACAAGGCATTTTCTTAACATGATAATAAAAAAACAAGAGAAATACTCGTCATAGTAACTATTACAAAACGATAATACAATGACTCATGATAAATATTCTATGTTCCCTTATTTAAAATGAATCTACGAAAAATAAAATAAATATTGTAGAAATACCAGGTGTCACGAAATTTTTCATTTTGAGTATGGAAACGATTATCATCACAAGTCAATAAAGATTGATTATTACTATTTTTGTAGAGCATTTCATGGTGTATTTTTTTTATATATTCAAAATTTTGTCGTTCACTTACGCCGAGATATATGCAAAATAAGAAATATCACAAAAATTTTGTGACATCTGATAATTGAGATTATTTATATTACATTTCATAGATTAATGTTTATTGATTGTTTAGATTCTTTTAATAAAATATTACTTTCGTTTTCATTGTCTCATTTATCTTTTTATATTTTATGAAAAAATTAAAACTCAACTTTTTTTAAAATTCAGTTCATAATGGTATATATATAATTACAATAACTCATATAAGAAAAATATTTTTCATAAAACATCGACATGCGTTTATCAATCAAAAAAAAATCGAAAATACGTATTGATGGTTGTTTGTAGTCAGGAGAAAATAAAGATCATTTTTGTAATACCATTAGTAACTACTGGTAAGGTCTTTTTGTATAGTTTAGATAAAAAATGTTCTTATAAAGGTAAATCATGCATTCTAAAAAAAAACAGCAAAACTTTTAAAATCAGGAATTCCCTGATAAAATTAGAAGAGATGACAGTTTTGAGCTCAAAAGAGTATCTCATCTGTTATAATTTTACATATTCATTATTTCATTTTTTCTAACAGTTTGTCTATGTGAAGACAAGCGATACATCTCTCTATCTTCTCATGTGAATTAAACTCAGAATCATATAGCACAGAATATGAGCTGCATCTTCATCGAAAGAGAAAAAAACAATTCATTCTTAAACAGAACTCCGTTTGGTACACACGTCTCTGGTTTTATTATTTTTATCAAATCATCAGAAGTAAAGTTATCGTTACTAATACCATTATTCCTTTCTGATTATACTCGATCAACATGGTATCATTAACAACAATAACATCTGATTTCACTATCTATAGTTTCTTCATCATATTAATTATTGGAACAATTGGAAATATATGTAATCTTATTGCATTTTTATCGAAAGATCTTCGAACAAAAGCTTGTATATTTTACATGGTTTGTTCTTCTTTACTGGATTTGTTCTTCAGCAATTTTGGTATTATAATTCGTTTTGCAACAGAATATTTTGGAAACAATCTGACTAATACTAATCGTGGTATTTGTAAAGTACGTGGTTACTTTCTTGTATGTTTACCAGCTATGGCTTCAACAGGTGTTTTATTAGCAACATTCGACCGATGTGTATCAACATCATCAAATGCTCGTTGGCGACGATTGAGTTCTATCTGGTTTGCTCAACGTCTTTTCATCATATTCATGCTCTTTATTTTAATTTCAAGCAGTTTTCATCTGATCGTATATGATATTCGCAATGGTACATGTGCACCATCACCTGGCCTTGCAGCGATTATAGTCGCTCTTTATATCATTCTCAGTTTTCTGATTCCTAATACAGGCATGATAGTTTTTGGCATCATGACACGGAGGCACTTGCAACAATCGAAAAATCGCATCGTTCCGATTTCTCTCGCCAATAATAATCAACAGCTTGGTGTTGAGCGAACGAATCGACAACTACTCATTCTAATATTTACACAAGCTTCTGTGTCTACTGTATTGTTATCTCAACGTTGTCTCACGTATTCATACCTTGTGATTACAAGTTCTGTACAAAAGAGTGTCGAGCAACAGCAAATCGAATATTTTATTCAACAAGTAAGCCTTATACTTATGTACGTAAACTATGGTATGACTTTCTTTATTAATTATTGTTCGAGTAGTATGTTTCGAAAAACATTTCGAGCATCTATACAATCACTAATGAATAGATGCTTTCGTTTTTGTAAATGTGGTCAAATGCAAAATTAGATGTTCATGTAAAACACCAAACACAAATAAAATATATGTGAATATATTTTTTGTTTGATCAAAGTGTATTTAGATGTTGTTACAGATATCCGTACTCGCTTTCGTTGTCTTATTATGTATCATTTTCTCGATGTAGTATCTTTTTTTTTGTTTTTGAAACAATAAATTATTCAATCGACAGTTTCTTTCTATATCACTAATGTATTTGATCATCCTACTTGAAATCCTAAATACATCTGCATCTATAATATGCACACAATGCTCTGAATTTTGGCCAATAGTAGAACCCATCTTGAGGATGTGCGTATGAGCTAAACAAGGAAACGCCCACATTTTTTATGAGATATAAAATATTGCAAAAATAGATGAAGAGATGTTTTAGACATACATATAGGAAACAATATAGAATCATAATTTATTTTATCTAATAGATCCTGTTGACATTGTATAATATCAATTGAATCGTTCAGTATTTTCTTCAACTATAATCTATAAATTTTTTATGAAAATGATATTTTATCAATAAAATAAATAATCTAAATTTTTTTTTCTGATTGTAGACTTGAAATTGATTTTCATAAAAGAGATCTATTAATAATTACTTCTTTCTGACGAATGTAGATTCAGAATAAGTTGTTCTTATCGTAAGCATTTTTTATCTTCTTTTCGATAATTTCAGTTGGAAATATATAATAAATGGCACCTGTAACTAGAAGAAACAGAAAACACAATGATTCTCTCTGTTGAAAAAAAAGACAAATTCACTATATTAATCTTCCCTTTTTTCTTTGTTTTTTAGAAATTTGTATAATAAAAGTTATTTGAAGTATTGATTAAGTGCTTGATATAATCAGTGATATTTGGGTGTGAGTATGTTTTATTTAGTCATGTTCGTATCCTCACATACTAAAAATTAAATTTTCTATAAATTAAGAAATAGTATTTTAAAAGAAATCTTTTCTATTTATCTAGAACACTAATGATGTCGTTTTCAAAGTTGAAATACTATCTTTAGTTCTTTTGTATTTTCGTTACCTTCATATATATGTTATCAAAATATCAGTCAATGTTAATATTTAAAGAAGGATTTGTTTCAATTACTCATCGTTAACAACACATAACAACTTTGACAAACATAAGATTTTCTTTTTATATTTATTCGAACGCAATTTCAAAACAAAAATATTATCGTTCGATAATAATGCATTGCCCTATTATAAAATGGTATTTATTGAGTATCATAATTCTCAGTGATATTTCATTGAAATTCATCGATTGTCAAACTTGTACACTATTGAATACTTGGCCAATAATTAAACCAAATTGGTCAAATTGTTCTGTTCTCTCCGATGGCGTATGTTATTGTTTTTTTATTAATTCAATAATGAAATAAAATATTTTTTTTAGACATTTATAATTAATAATATTCATGCTGAATGTATGTTATTAAATGTTCCTATTCATTGGAATTCATCTAATTTAACAACATGTACAGAAACAATTCAAATATATGTTAAACGTTATTTTTCATTAGGATATGAAAATATATCTCATCATTTATGGCGAATACCAGGTATTTTTTTATCTCGAAGAAATTTATAATGAAAATAAAATTTTTCTTAAATAGGTGGTGGTGGTATTCCTGTATCATCATTAGAATTTGAAGCTGTAACTGTTGTTGGTGCATTAAGTGGTTCAGTTTCAGTCTATGTTACGGATAAACGTAGTGTTGGTGAAAGTAGTCGATTAGAATGTCCAACATCGATTGTTCAAAATTTTACGGGTTGTTTATCATTTATTAAAGCAAATGAATATCGTTTAAAACAAAATACATATACAAATACAGCGCATGATTTAGAATATGTTCTTAATGTTGTTATGGGTAAAAATCGTGAAAATTTAAAAACAAATCAACGTGTTATTCTAATGGGATCAAGTCAAGGAACGTATCTTTTACAACGCTATCTTCATGTCACTCAAGAATCTGAACAAGTTGATGCTGTTATATTTGATTCGGTTTTACCACCTGATACAACACGATTAGTTTATGGTGATAAATATTTAAATTATATATTTTTAGATTTATTTACACGTTGTTCACAAGATGAACAAGGATGTGCAAAATATTTTGAAGATAATAATCCATTACGTGCTCTTTATACATATAAAATGAATGAAGATTTTTTTGATAATTCATCTTGTCTTTATCTATTAAAAACAAATACAACTGAACTTGCAAATAAAGTATATATAAATATTATTTATTAATTATACATAAGAAATTTTTATTTAGATGTCATTTATATTATATCCGGAAGCGATGCAATTATTACCTGCATTGATCTATCGAATCAATCGATGTAATCAAGATGATCAGAATGTTTTAAAAAAGTTTTTAAATGTAACTCAACCACCAGAATAAGAGGGAGCAATAAGATATTCAATTTTAGTTGAATTAAATAATAATCTTGCTGAATTATGGTCTCCATTGAATTTAGAAGAAAAAAATCCAACATGTGAATATTTAAAAGGAATATCAAGCAATACATTTGCTTCTACAAATGTTATGCCGGATATTTATTGTGAAATTGAAAAAACAAAAATCTTAGGATATCCGACTGATCAATATTATAGAAAATATCCAACAAAAAAAACTAATATGCCAATGTTATTGTTACATGGTATGTTTGAAAATTTAATATATAATAAATACATTGAATTATTTAAGGGGATATGGATCAAGCATTGCCGTTACCTATTCCTCGACATTTTTTTAAACAATATTCAATGATAAACCCAAATTTTATCTATATTGAAATGCCTCGAACAGGACATACTGCGTTAGGTGGATCACCAATGGTTGACGAAGAAGGTACTTGTGGTTGGAACATAGCTGTATCATTTATGTTATCACCAACCTTCGAACCTGATCGTTCATGTTTAAATAAAATTAGTCCAATTGATTTTGCTGGTACAACAACAAAAACGAAACAAATAGCGATACAATATTTTGGTACTGATAATATTTGGGGTACAGAAAAACCAAATGGAACAGTAATAAATATAGCTATCAATATTCAGTTGTCTTTTTCTATGTTACTATCAATTTTTATTATATATTTAACATCGTTTTAATCCGTCATAAGAAATAGAAGATCAGGGAGTCTCGAATTTTCTTGAAAAATAAAGAAGTTTATAAATGAACGTCTACTTTGTTGTATTTAGAGTCTTTGTGTGTTTTTGAATGGAACGAGAAAGTGTGTGACTGCGGGTATCAGCTACAGTTGACACCCGTACTCTATTCTATAAAGAAATTTAAAAAAATTGAATCACATATGTAACCAATCACACTATATCTCTTTCTGGACAAGGCCAACAATTATATATAACATTTCCTTTCTTTATTCGTTCCTCTTTCCATATCTTGACCTTGTTGTGATATAAGAAATGTATTGGTCAGTTAATTGGGAATAAAATAGAAGCAAGAAGCACCAAAGATAAATAAATCGTTACAACATAGAAATTCGCATTGTTGCGCTAATCTCAATTGGGAAAAAATTCAGTTGCTCACTCGTAAATAAATTATTCAATATAATTTCACGTAATATACATAACTTTTGATATGATTCATTTAAATTTCTTTTTCTTTTAAGATTGAAAATGAATCAAAATGGATGTACTAATTTTGAAGATCTCTCCAATGAAATAATCTATGAAATTTTTGATTTTCTTGATACTTATCAAGCTTATGAAATTTTTAGCAATTTAAATATACGATTTCGAAATATTCTTACTTTATCAGATCTTTCGATTAATGTCAATATTTTTAATATATCAAAATTATCATTTGAACAACATTATGAAGAATTTTTTAAATGTAATACTCATCGAATTCATTCACTTTATATTTCAAATCCAATTGTTATTGATTTAATATTTTCATCTATTAAAAATGATATATTATTAACTCGACTTCGAATACTTTGTTTGAAAAATATTGATTTAAGTGACTGTGAAGATTTTTTCGATTATTTAATTCTATTACCACAACTTTCAACATTAATTATTTACTCATTTAAAAATGATTGTGATAGAATTATAATCTATGATAAACTATTTCGTTTACCAGCATTAAAATATTGTAAATTATCGCTCAATGATAGCGATAATCTTCCACGGGAAGTATTTTCTACTGCTTATGATACCCTTAGTCCTATTGAACATCTTATTATTGATTGTAATGTATATTTTAATGAATTATTACATATATTACTATATGTTCCTCATCTTCGTCGTTTATCAATCAAAAGTCTGACTTGGCGTTATGGTCAAGTGCCACATACATTTCCATTTACTTTAAATAAGCTTACACATGTTTCAATTGAATTAAACTTTATAAAATTCGACCAATTTCAACCCTTTATGATGAATCTTTTTAAAAATCTTCAAGTTTTATATATTTCAACAAGTATGGATGATGAATATATCAATGCTCAAAGATGGGAAGATTTGATCACAACTCATATGCCTCATTTACGAATTTTTGATATTCAGCATAAAACATATTTATTTAATAATATAATTAATGGTGAAACATGTCAAGATTTAATGAATCGATTCGCTACATTATTTTGGACTAAACGAAAATGGTTTTTTACACATCTACTTTATTATTTAGACCGTTCAAATTATGGAGTTTTCTATTCTATACAACCATACAGGTATGAAACACGATCTTGTGGGTGTGAATGTCTCTCTTTCATCCACACCCATACACACCCTAGCTAACAGCTTTCTTTTTTTTATTTTGAAGGAGGAAAAACTACATATTGAATTGTATTGAAAATCAGTGTAACTATTCATGCAACAAGAAAAATACTTTTTATTCAGTTCGCCATATTTATATTGAACACAGATTAGCAATCGATAATTATTCAATTGATTTTCCAAGTGCTAATGAAATTACTTTTGGCAAAAATGTTTATATATCTCAGGATTTAATTATAAATATTGCCAATAGCATGATTCCTCTATCACAAATAACAAAAATAACGATTAATAGTGATTTTATTTGTTTTTCCAATATAATCGAAATGTTATGTTCAATACCAAATTGTAAAAAATTAATACTTACATCTTTATCATTGGAAAACACAGATTTTTCGTCGCTACAATGTACGAAAAATTTTCAATATTTATCTTATACAAATACTATTACAAATATTTTTATTAAATCATGTGATTTCAAAGGAGTTCAACTATTAGTAAATCTTTTTCCTCGATTGGAACATCTTCATATAAATGAACTTCAGCAAGAATTTCAATCGATTATAAAATATTTATTAAACAACAATGAAGATACTCGTTATTTACATTCATTATATATACGAAGTATAAGTAAAATATGGATTAAAAAACGAAAGAATATAATTACAGAAATTGAACAACAGAATAACGTTTCTGTAAAACTTCCTGGTGATTTTGGTTGCTATTTATGGTGGAAATAAATATTGTTACTCACCTTCAAAAATAAAAATCCATTTATTTTTCTCTTTATTTGTCGCTCTCGCGAATGCTTATTTGTTCTTTTTTTCTGCGCATTATATTGTAAACTATTGTGCAATTATAAACATTGTATTCTTTCATTTTTTAAATAAACGATATTTCATCATTGATTAAGAATATCTATATGGAACAAATAAAACGTCAACGAAGTAACAATGTAAATAATTATCATAATAATAAAAAACAGAAGATACAAGGTAAAATATATATACAATTCTTTTTTTATCATTTCTATTTTTTTTTCAGTTGAAACGAATTGGTGAGTCAACAAAAAATATTCGTTAAAATGAATGTTCGTCTTTTTGTTTTAGTTTATTAAAAGCATTTGTCACATGTTTTGAAGATCTTTCTGATGAAATAATCTATGAAATATTTGAATTATTAAAGTTTGATCATGTTTATAAAGCTTTTTATTCACTTAATACACGATTTTATAATCTTATAATTAATTCAACTGTTCCAATTGAAATTAATTTTTCTTCTATATCAATATTGTAACATCTGATGTGACGCCGTTTATGTCTCTTCACACTAGTTATACATGTAGCTATATCCTTCATTTCTCATCACTCTTTCTTCCTTCTTCTTGCAGACAACTATATCACATCTTTTTATATTTATGTTCTGTTTATTATAAGTCATTCTGTCCTTCTCTCTCTCTCGCTCTAATTGATTGTATTGGAAAAGATATAAAAGGGAAAGGATATATTGAATAAAGGGACAGTTGTACAAGCTTACACTACGAAGTTGTTACAAATATTAACATTTTAACGGTACAAGAATAAACATCGAATTCATTCATTTCATTTATCAAATCCATGTTTATATGATGATATTTCTTCACCGATTCATATTCTATCTCAGTTTCTTCGTCTTGAAACATTTAGTCTTAATAATATAGAATCAAAACATCTTGAATATCTCGTTCTTACATTAGTTTCTTTACTATACCTATCTTCATTATCTATCACATCAATAGACATTATTCTAGATAGGACTGCTATCTATGATTAGATAATTCGTCTGCACGCAGATCTTCACGATAAAGAGTTCGAATCATGTGTGCGATTTCTATTAGAGAAAACAAATCGAAATAATAATCATTTATGCTCATTATGTGGTTTATCGGCAAACACAATTTAGCTTACAAGATTAAAAGCATTAATCAAATCTGAGACGTTACTGGATGATTATATGTTAAAAATGATCGATATGGATCTATGTTTATAGTGGTAACGTTGATATATATATATATCAGTAAAACTTTAAAATGAACTATGTCTGTGATTTGTTTTGAAGTTTTTCATTCACTTTACGAATATTCTGTTCGGTTCGAATAATATCGCGATGTGTTGGTGGTAATATTTTTCGACAAATAGCCAGAGATTTTTGAAAGAAATCTAATGCTTTAACATAATCACCTATCTTTTCATGATACAACCATCCAATATTGTTATACGACGTAGCAATATCAGGATGATTATGTGGTAATGTAGCCAATCGAATATTTAAACATTTGTTATAATATTCTAAGGCTAAATCTACTTCATTCATTGCGCTATATGTAATTGCAAAACGATTATATGTTGCTAATATATCTGGATGTTCGGATGGCAAAGTCGCTTGTTGAATTTTTAAAGCTGTATTTAAATTTTCTAATGCTTCAGAATATAATTTTTTTCTCCAGTAAACGAGACCAATTGAACTATGTAGTCGACCTTTTTCTTCACAAATATCTAGACCAACTTCATTTAATAATGATAAACTTTTATGTAAATTTGATAGAGATTCATCATATTGATTTAGCCAATGATCTGCCCATCCAAGACCACTATATCCTATACTTTCATCAAGTTGAGATTCATAAATCATTCGTTTATAACATTTTTGTGCTTGTTTATATTCTCCCATTTCAGTTAAAATTTTTCCAAGCGAATGTAAATTTGTTTCATCACCAATCTTATCTTTCATATGAGCAAATGTTTCTTTTAAATAAAAATCATCTTCACTAGCTAATGTAATATGTGCAATCCAAAGTTTTTCCTCTTTATCTTCATGAATCGATTCAATACGAAATAATGCTCCAAGCATAATAAGAACTTCATTTTCACTTGCGATATAACTCAAACGATCGATTTTACAAAATGGTACTGTTTTTTGACGTGGATCGATGTCAATTTCGAATAGAATTCGATCAATTTCATTATTTGGTTTAATCGACTGCAGGAAACTAAGAGCAGTTTTGTATTCAAGACTGGTGGAAAGAAATGAATTCATTGAAATAAATTCTCCAATGCTGGATTGAATTAATTTCAATTCATTTAAATCGATTGCTTGACCACGATAGACTCGAATAATATCACGTGTAGGCATTTTACGTAAATAATGTTCGTATTCCTTTCTCAATTGATTTGAGAGATCAGTAATGAAAAAACGAAGTGCAAATAATAAATCGAAATTTTGATTGCGCAATGCTTTGTTTAAAATACGATATAGGCAACATTCACGTGTATACCACCAGATAGCATTTTCTGTTTTGTATGTCTTCTCAAATTCGTTAATAATCGAGAGTTCTTCGGAATTATTTTGATATTGTTCTTTACAAACATCAATCAATTCTTGTCGAGCATTGGATTTATGATGCATACGAAAAAGTACTTCAATAAATAATTGAAACCACATAAACATAGCATTTCGACTTTCTAATGATTCAGTATTGCGACTGACTATTGAAATCATTCCGGAATCTTCGATTAGAACTCGAACAGTTTGATCTTGAGTAATTCGAGCGATCAGTTCCGATCGTTGAGTAAAAATGCCTTTAATCTATGAGAAAGAGTTTAGATTCTATGTCTATTGCAACATTATAATCACATACTTTAGCATAGTCGGTAATCCATTGTTTGTCGACTGATTGATCTGAGCAAAAAATGTAGCATGCCTTGAATTGTGAAAGATCATGTATGCGAGGAACTAGTTGATGAGCCAATGGATTAGAAGAAATAAGAACAACTTTTTCTTCTATAATTTTCCGGATCTCCTGTTCACATTCATCAGAATTTTCGAATGTTTGTAATGAATTGATGACTTTCCTCAATTCTTTTTGTGTTTCTTGATTATCTTTCGTTTTATTTACATCTTCATCAAGCCAGAAATAAGCAAACATGTTGATATTGGATGTCGCTTTTTGGGGAACTGAAGATTGTTTTTCTTTTCGCACATTTGCTGATGAAACTCTTGTTGTTACTTCATTTGGTTCCTTGTTTGATATACGCGAAGAATTGGGTCGACTGCTCGTCATCGTGATGAAAAATGAGTTCTCACTGTAAGAAATACTCTCGTAGTTTCTCTTTTCTGCAACTAAAATGTGAGTGATGTTGAAGGACGCTTTTTTTCTCAATTGTGATAGAATTGATGTGAGAAGAAAACAATGTATTACAGGTTGTCAGGATGACAAAAAAAAGAAAATAATAATGTTCACGTGGTAGAAACCAATGTTTATATATTACTTTGACGGCATTTGTAATAATTTCATTTGCTCTCTTACGAATCTCAGTGAATAGGAATAAAGTTAATTCAAAAGATTTACAGGAGCTATTCATTATTTTATTCCTTACATTAAAACTATTTTTCTAAAATTTAGTACAGTTTCTAATTTTTCTAATTCAAATATTAATTTCATATTCTGATTGTATTATTGATTGATATTTAGGGTGTGAGTGTGACTAAATATAGATGACTGTCTATATTTACACCCACACTCACACCCTCGTTTTTTTTCTCAACTTTTTGTTGTTTGCTTTACTGTATTGTCTTTATCAATCTGTATTTTATTTCATAAATATTACAATATAATATTGCTAAAAGTTTTTTCTATATATTTACGACAAAAATAAAATATGAAAATTTAATCGATTGTTACTTCTATATAACATGTGGTAGATTTTATTTTTATCTTACACCCACACCCTTGACTTAAAAAGTGAGCTTTACTACAAATATGACTGCAAAAATTTCTCTGATCAACTGAGACGTTGGGTGATAAGTGATATACAAAAAACATTTACTGTGAAGAAGCACAAATTTATCTTGTTTCATGAGAATGTTCAATCTGATTGTGCATTGAGCACTGGCATGTTGCTCGGTTGAGAGAGATGACCGTGTCGCTTACAAGTTGGACAATAATACTCGTTTCTCGTTGCTTCTTTGACGAAACCTATGCCATCAATGTATTTTTCGTAAAATCCATTCTTCTCGTAGGATCGTATATCTAAAAAACAGTCAACGATGAATGTTTACTACATCAAACTTCTTGTCGTAAACACAAACCTGAACAATTGCAGCACTGTTTTGTCGCCCACATATTACAGTCGTGTCCACACATCTTCCTTTTCGTTTCCGGTCGATAATCGAGTCCATCTAATAGTGTCACTCCATCATCATGAACCATGTCGATCCTGTACGGCAATGAACCCTTTTGTAGAATCTCTCTAAGATGAACAATAGTCAAAGCACGATGGACTCGTTGTTTGTCGGTAACCAAAAATTTTGTGGCAGGCAGCAAAAGAACTTCTTCATTATCTCTCGATAAGTATGAATAATTTTCAATCAATTTGCCGCTTTGACATTCAATATAAAAAAGTGTTCTTTGCCCAGTTTTTCCAAGAAATTCTTCTTTACTGAACACTTCCACTGACCGTGTACAGGAACTAAAACCCCACCAAGTGATTTCTTTGTCTTTCACATAATGACTTGAAGCATTACCATTGACACCACGATAGACAAGACCACTAAACCGTGGTAATTTTTTCAAGGCTCTAACAAGCAGTGTGAAATAGGGTATAATGGGTTTTAATCGACTACGATCTGCAAGACGAAGTGTCGAGTTTAATATGTAGAAAAGACTTTCTTGTTCGATCTTTGATTCCATTGTATAGAGTTGAATTGCAGCACTTTCATCGATGGTCAGATCATAAATATCTTCATTTTTCGAACATTCTTTTTTAGCCATAGAAACTTGCTTGTGAATGTGAAGATCAATGTTTGACGGGATGTGTTCTTGCATGTAAATGATTGCCTCTTCCAGTGAAAATTGTCGCCACGGTTGTGAGCCTTGAATTACAGGCAATGTCTCACCTGTTTCATGGATCACATCGTAGAAACGAGAACGGCACGACGAAGTTGATGCCGATACTTTTTCCATGATAGAAAATATTTTTCAAATGTTCCACCGATAAAAGAAGCTGATCAGTCGTTAAGTGATGAAATATCTTTCAAAAAATGTACACCAAAATATGGTGACAGTGTTATTTCACAATTTAGTTTACTCATGTGTTGTGCAAGAATCAGAGAAAGAAAGAAATACGTTTGATGACTCATAATGGCTTTTTGTATTCGAGAGGAAAAAAAGAGAAGAAAAACAAAATGTTAAACCCATGTGAATCGAGTATCGAAGTGTTAACCAATGATCACATTAGCAGATCTGATCTTCTTTCAAATTAGTCTCGTCAAGGGTGTGAGTGTGGGCGTGATTGAAGAAGATACACTAGTACACCCACACCCTCAACATTTATATTTTGATAGAGCCAAGAAAAAAAAGAGAATCTGACAAACCTTTTACAGATGAAAGAGATATAATGAAAAGCAAGACAGTGATAGATTGCATTATTATTTGTGGAATGAATGAAAAAATAAAGTATGCACAAGAATGAGTGATTTTTCTTTACTCTTTTTTCTTCTTCTTTACTTCCCATATTATTCTTTTCGTTGAAAGAGCCTAAAGCTGTTTCTCTTAACACTTGTCTGTGTCCTTGAAATCGAAAATAGATTCTTTTTATTTTGAATTCTTTATTCATTTAAATGTATTGAAATATTTCTTTTGCAAAACGTTTTTTAATAGAAAAAAAACTCATCTAAGCCTATATAACTTTCAATCTCATGAAATACTCTTTTGTTTTGTTCTTTCATCCGTTTAAAGTTATACCATTTCTTCTATCGAGCCCATGTAAATATTTTTTGTATAAAAACGCGTGTCAGCAGCGTTCAAATCGCGTCTGAATTTGAAACGATGCTAGACGCAGTTCGAACATAAACTGTGATAATAAATAAAACTGCGTCTGGACGCGTTTAGCTAACTTTTAAAATTGAAAAAGAACATCACAATCCGTCTCAGGTTTGATCCGAGTCGCCATCAATATCCCCAAACGATGGACTTTACCTCATTATAGGCCAACGGAGTGTTATTGTATTGATTTATCTAGAATGATATAAATGATATAAGCGAGAATAGAACAAGCGATTAACAAACAAGCATACATACCGTTCAGTCACATGTGACTACAATCGTTGTCATATGAATGATGAACTGTATGTGAATGCATGTATTATTTCAATAGTCTTGACATAAATATTTATTTTAAGTATTAATATTTCTATTTTCGTACACAAAATTAGCTTGAATAAAAAATAACCTAATATGCAATTTTTTCTCAAATTTTTCAAATTTTGTTTTGTTCAAACCATTTTCGTTGTATTTTTTTTCTATAGAGCAAATTTTTATACAACTTTAAATGGCGCCAATATATCAAAATTTATTATTTGAATATCATATCTTATGAAATAATATACTTCTTTTTTTTTCTATTTTCTTTTTGTCATCTAATGTAAATATCAGGAACAATTTTTCTATATGCTTAAAATTGAAATCCGTCACTTAAATTAGATATTTAGGGATTATTTCGACAAAGTTTAATCAAAACCGAAGAATAATATATGAAGAGATTGATAATTGATGATAGGAACATTCAATATTGTTTATAGATTCGCTATTTGAAAACAATTGTTAGAATTTTACGTTTTTTTGCCTGATACAGAATAATAAATATTCGAAATTATTTTTGTTTTATTCCACCAAAATCTGTTTTTATAGATATATCTGTACGCTTATAAAGAAGGGTATTTTGTGAAACTTTAGATGCTATCGAACATAATTAATAGTCTTCTATAAATGTTTTTGTCTTACGGCTAACAGAAATATGTGTATTTTTTGATACTTTTAATTCTTTGTTGGTCTATATTTGGACAAAGATATTCATATTTGAATGATGATTTTGATCAAAGTATATTCTAATATAACTATTATAATAAAGAAGAAGTGTGTAGGTTGCTTCAGAATAACTATGAATCTAGCCTATTTATGTTAGTTGCTAATAAAATAATTTTTACATTCGATACATTCACATACATAAAGCTTTTAGACAAGCTAGTTCGTATCTTTATAGGAGTTTTTGTCTTACGTGCATGTAATACTAAATATTTCAACTAATAAATTCTTTTAGTTCTTACTAAATTCAACTATATAAAAAATCAGATTGTATGCCTTTTTATAGTTTTATGATATATACGCTTGTCAAAACTGTAGAATAAACTTTTCTTGTTATTCACATTGCTGTAGGGATATAATTTAATGCAAAATCGCGTTCAGATATGTTTGAAAAATGTATACAATTGTGTCTAGGTGCGCTTCTATACAAGATCGCGTTCAGATGCGTTTGGATAGTTTGTATAACTGCGTATATACGCGGTCAAGTATGCGATTGCGTGTAAACGTATTTCAAAAAGAAACGCGATTATACGCGTCTATTCTGCGTGTCATGTTTACATGGGTATTAATTAAAAAAATACTATAATGAATTTAACGAACTATGAATAATAAAATATAATCTTTTAGCACTAATGATTCTATTGTAAGTGACTAAAATAAATAAATATTTAATATAAAAGATGCATCATATACGGTTCTGAATAATAATATTGACGTCAGCAGAATTGCCTTATCAAATATTGAATTGAATATTAATGAGAAGAGAATAACTCTCTTATGAAATCTTTCTTAAAATATTTTATTTTTATTTCTATCGTTAAAAAAAATATGAATTTTAGATGAATCATCATATCTAGCATAGTATTATATTTTTTTATGTAAATAACATGGAAAATTTCTTCTAAAATATTAGTCTATATTTTGTAATTCATTTTCGATTTAATTAATATCATCTGATATGATATACAAATCTATTGATGGCTAATTCTTCTTGATTAAATATGCTGAGAATGCATCAATATATATATTAATCATTTTTAGTTCAAGATGTTCGGTAGAAGATCGAACTTAAATAAATATCATGATATTTAACAAAATAATTAATATAAAGAAAGAGAGTATGGATTGATGTGCTTACTTCGAAAAACCACTTCAAATAAAATAAAATAAACAGCAACAAGATTTTTCTTTCGTCTTCTGTATACGAGTATATGTTGTCAATGCATATTTATATATTTAGCAGTTAGAATAATTATTCGACCATAATCTTTATAATGAACACACTTTCAACATTTATATTTAACCATTTTCAATTAACTTTAATAAAAAATGTCTCGTTCTATTTCTAGAGTTACCGACAAAAAGACAGATAAAATGCATTAACCTATTATTGCGACGAAGTGGAAAATGAGATAAAATATTTCTTCACTTCATATTCATTCTCACAATTTCTTGTCCGCTCAAACATCAATAAAAGAAAAGCAGTTTCATTCGTAAGAGTAATGGTATCTAACACAATCTGGTTTTGGTCATTGCTTATCGTGCTTATTCCATCATTTATCTGTTTATTATTTGTTCTTTATAATCTTCTTTTTGATCGAACTCTTCGTCATGCTCTCAATAATCATATTATTATTGTTATTCTTATCATTGATCTTATCACTCTAATGACAACATATCCATGGATGATATATTTCTATTACAAGGACGGTGTTATATGGGAAAGACCAATGATTTTTTGTGAATTCTGGGCATTTATTGATTGGGGATTATTTATCACCCATATGATATTCTTTGCTTGGGCAACTATCGAAAGACATATTCTTATTTTTCATGATAAGTGGGTATCAACTAGAAAGAAACGATTCTTTGTTCATTATCTCCCAATCATCGCCCTTCTTCTCTACTGTCTTCTCTACTACATCATTGCAATTTTCTTTCCACCTTGTCAAAATATCTATCTTAATTTCCACAGGATCTGTATAAATCCATGTATGTATGATATATATATATTTGTTATGTATGATTCAGTAGTTCACCAAATAGTCCCCACTTGTATAGCCGTTATATTTAGTCTTGCTTTATTTTTACGTGTTTTATGGCAAAAACATCGTGCACATCAACCAATTCAATGGCGAAAATATCGAAAGATGACAATTCAATTGCTATCTATTTCATTACTGTATTTTATATTTTTGTTTCCATACACAATAGCCACTATTCTCTCTCTATGTGATGTAGTGTCTGAAGCAATCTATGACTTTTATCTATATGCAGCATTTTTCTCTTATTTTATGTTACCGCTTTTTCCTTTTGTTTGTGCTTTATCATTACCTGAACTTCGAAGCAAACTTATCAATATTCTACATTTACGACGACCAGCAAGACGTATTGGTGTTGAAACGTTGGCTATGCGAACTGCTATGAATAGACAAATGCGCGATCGGTAGACATTTATTATACAACTTTGTTCTTGTGTTGTAAAAAAAATAAAAATAAAAATAGTCATTATAAACAATAAAGTAGGCCTTTATTAATGAGAAGAAGTGAGCAGAATGTTTTAATGAATGAGATTCATTTAAAGCACTTCTCATTAAATTATACTTGTGAGATTTAACTCGATTAACTCAGAGAAAAACTTGTTTATTTTATTGAAAAACATAATTTATTCACCACAGAGTGCAGCTAATATTAAAAAAAACTCAATAGCAATTATTAAAAATTATGGAATAAAAGTAATTAAATAAGTTGGATAAACCACACGATTTTCATAGACAATATAAACTGTACTACCTTCTGTGTAGAGCCCGCCGGGTCCGACCCGGACCCGGACCCAGACCCGGACCCGATCGGGTCTGGGTCGGGTCCGGGTCTGAAATTTTTGTTTTAACCGGGTCCGGGTCCCGAAG